AGAGAGAAAGAGAGAGAGAGAGAGAGAGAGAGAGTGAGAGAGAAAGAGAACAACATACGTTGTTTTTATTATTGTTTTGGGTTGTATTGTTTTGGCTGATCTGATTGCGGTTTTGTCTAACCCAAAATAGACTTGTTGGTGTAGACGTCAATTATGTCAAATCAGTTTACAGAGCTGAACGGGAATTTGAGGTTTGGCAGTTTCTTTTTTTTTTTTCTTCTTCTTTTAGTTATGGACTACATTGACATATAATACGCTAGTAGGAACAAGGTTCGATAACTTACTATAATAATGAAACTAGACTCGTGAAATTGTCTACAATGTCTGGAAAACATTGTCTTGATGCATTGTCGCATCCGTTCTAGAATCGTTAATCAGTGTACTCATTTCACTGTCGTAGCTTTAAAGTAGCATTATTTTCCCTTGAATGCTATGCCAGTAAACACTGAACGAGAGCAGAATCGGTACCTATTTTTGAGTTTTTACGAAGCATGTTCCTACCGTACGGACACCCGCTGTCGTAGAATCAACTTCCATTAAGCAGCATTATCCATGATTAAGTTTTAGATCCAGATTCGGGCCCTTCACTAGTCATGATAGCACAACCATTGAAAATAATTCGTAATTCCTCAGCATGTGTTGTTTGCTTCACTGTCAATGGTAAACATTGTCACTCGCACAATTCGAAGACCACAGACCTTTGTCTCACAATAAGAAAACAAAACACGCCAAAGTAATACGTACACTCAAGACTGTAGGGATAGTTATGCCAATGATAATTATGCCAAAGTTAACAGTAAGGTTAGTATCGTTTCAAAACATGACTTTTACAACGAACTCAATGAGATACATATTCTGGGTTTTAAATCCTTGAGAAGATATGACAGTGAGAACGAAGTGAGAGGTGGTGATAAGGAATCTTAGTGTAAAGATAACAGAATGCTGGCATCGCGGGACTCTTCCACACCGCCTGGGTTTAACAAGGCAAAGTAGGTCTGGGCTGGCATTACGTCACTCAGAGCAGATAGGGCCTGAGAAGAGATTCCGAGAGGCGGGGAAAATGACAGATGGTGTGAATCGAAGGGCACTCGCTGTCGGCCACATACGGTTTTACCTTTAGAAAGCCAATGGCTGCTGAAGTGTCACTTTCAACAGGGGGCGTTAGTGGTTTTCCTGAGTGGAGACCACTGATACATTCTGTTTGAGATGGAGATGATAGTAACAGTAATAATAATATTGCTGTAGGAAGATTTTTTTAATGGCAGTTTCTTAATGAGGCAGGTCAAATACCACATCGAGTATGAGTATTGGGAAAGCTCTGACAGAAAAGAACAAAATGGAAAATTACAGCTAAAGGTGAAACAGATTCAACGGGGAAGTCACAACCATAATTCTTTTTGAAAACATATAAAACAGATGGAGAACCCAATGTATCCTTCCAGCGGACCAGTCGACGCCACGAGCGTAGATGGAATGACAGCAGGCTTTTCGGACGCAGAAAACACGAGTTCAATTCCCGCTTGGGGATTTATTTTTTTTTAAAGCACCTTCTGTTTTGTGGGATCTTGTATCACTCTTGTCCAGGGATGCTCCTAACTAGCAGAGCTGAAAAAAGTCCGCCTCCCTACAAGTCTTATTGTGTCGATGGGACGTAGAACATTTGTATTTTTTAAATCGACGACTCACCACTGCCTCCTTCTCCAGTGTCGGAATGGTTTGGGGGCTCAGACTAACACACAATGTCCAGCACACCGGAGACGCAGCTTACTAGTCGGTTGTCACCGAAATATGAAAGTCTGCGACACTGTGCAGCCTGGATCCTAAATTGTGTGTCGGGGTCACGAAACCAGAGTTGTTAATACTTTACCTAAATTGTAAGGATGGATTCTAAGATGATACTGATGTTGGTCATTATACACGTTTGCTCATAAAAACTGCTTCTGAATATGTGCTGGTGGTCATTACCCCTTCCCTGAAAAGAATGAAATAGTTTAACGCCCGAGTCGATAATTTAAGAAATGGACTACGTAGGTCATGTCTGTCAATGCCAACCCTAGAATTACAGGTACAGCTTCCAAGCAGAAAACAGACATTCTGCTCTATATATATATCAGACTCTTTCCACATAGTATATGAACTCACTTCTTCTGCGCTCGAGGGCTTAAACAATACACCATGAACATACCAATACAAAGAAAACTGAGATTAGAATATCTGAAAAAGACGACTAAATGTCTCTTTTTATCTGTGGATTTAAACGTGCTTTGTGGATGTAGTTTGAAATCTACTGGAACCCACATAGGAACACCGGCACACCGTTAGCTCAGTTGATATCATGATAGGCTAAGGAACAAATAGCCGCGGTTCGATTCCCAGACGTTCTTGAACTCGAGTCGTTTTGTGGAGTTTTCAAGGCTTTCAACATGTCTGTCTCGGTCCAATCTGAGACGTACATTCGGAGGTATCACCTCTTAAATAACTCAATGGGCTTAATAAGAAACGTTAAACCCATACAGTAATTTACTACATAGGAACACACAGTCGTGTAGAAGAGAAATAATCCTGAAGTAGGTAATGAGAATTGTTACAACGGACGAATAATTAAATTATAAATGAACACAGGCAGTTAGC